GAGCTACGCCAGACGCGAGGTGAAGCGCGTCAGGAGTCGCCCGCTGTGGATGAAGGAGGAAGCAGTTTCGTGCCTAACGACGAGGTCCTCAGCGAGCTACAGAACTCGCTGGACGCCGAAGACGAGCGGACAGCACGAACGCAACAAGCACAAGGGACGCAGGAACAACAGTCACAGCCGAGGCCACAGTCGCAGACGACGCCACGACAGGCAACAGCGACAACCCCGGTGATGGCTTCAATGGCGCCCCCGATGCATGCAGCAGCAACAGTCTCAACAACTGTTAAAATAAAACCGACGAACCCGCCCCCGTTCAACCCCAGCGACAAAACCGTCACTGTGTCAGCTTGGTTGTTCGGTGTAGAGGTGTTTTTCAATGCTGCGCAAATTGCTGACGATGCTACCCGCATTAATTTTGCAGTGTCACTATTGCGAGGACCGGCGTTGGAATGGTGGAAGCGGACTCTTCAGCCAGAGGGGGCTCCGGCAGGGACATCACGTGCGAACGACGGGACCTGGGCAGCTGTCACGCAACAGGCAACTTCAATCTTCGGAGTGGCCACGATACGCACATGGACGGAGTGGGGCGCCGCACTGCGAAGCAGATTCGAGCATGTATCCGCCTCGGATTCTGCTCGCATGAAGCTGCGTACCTGGAAGCAGGTGGCGTCGGTCCAAGATTACACGGCGACATTCTGCAATTTGGCTGACCAAGTGGACGATATGAGCGACGCGGAACGACTCGACCGATACGTCGCAGGCCTCAAGTACGACGTACAGTACGAGGTGCGACGGGCGAGGCCACGCGTGTTTCTCGAAGCCGTCCAGGTGGCTGAATCGACGGATGCGCTGATGCAATGGGCGAGAATGAGTTCCCGGGAGGGCACTCAATTTCGCGGACCGCCGCGCCAGCCCACAATCAACGGGGTGGATGCATCGAGGCGGGGAAACAACAACTGCTTCAACTGCAACCAACCGGGCCACTGGAAGAAGGACTGCCCGAAGCTGAAACAGGGAAACAGGAACGACGGAGAGGGGTCGGGAAAAGAGACGAGTCAGTAGCAGTCGGGCCACCTACTGATGAGACCCCGTCGCCCGGCAATCAACATCCACACCGAGTAGTGGTACCGATACGGGCTATCGACCGCAACCGGACGAATAAGGTGGATGAACACGTGGATCACCCTGTGCTGGTCGTGGGGAGGGTTAACGGGCATAAAATAAAATTATTCGTTGACGGTGGGGCGAGCCACAGTCTCGTCAACCTGGCAACGGCCAAAAAAATTGGAGTCAAGCTGGACAGGTGTCTACCCGAAATTGACGCGCGGCTGGTAGACGGGACACCGCTGGCGATCAAAGACGAGGTCCGACAAATTCGGATGAAGTGTGGCGACGATTTCGGGTTCTCCATGCGGATGCTGGCGACAACACTGGATGGTTGCGATGTGCTGCTGGGAAGAGATTGGCTGCAGCGATTCAATCCGTTCATCGACTGGACGACGGGGGTGATCACGGTGCCATGCAACAATGGGCGCGTGACACTTCCGAAATGGGCGGAGCCGGAGCCGATGACAACACGGGTCAATGCAATAACACTGAAAAGGGCGATAAAACGGGGAGCGCAAGGCTACGCCGTACAGCTGTACGAGGTGGTGGCTTCCGAAAAAATCGCCGACATCGACACGCTCTGCGCTGCTGTACCCGACGACGTGGCGAGCATAGTTCGGAGGTACCCCGAAATATTCGCGGATGACCTACCTGACGGGTTGCCACCTCAGCGTCCAGAAGACCACAGGATTGAGCTGGAGCCAGGAACAAAACCAACCGTTCGGTCCCAATGGCGGCTCAGCCAACCGGAGCTCGACGAATTGCAGAAACAGTTGGATTATCTGCTTTCTAAGGGTTTTATCCGGCCAAGCACGTCGCCGTACGCCGCCCCGATACTATTCACACCAAAGAAGGACGGAGGCCTGCGCATGTGCATCGACTATCGAGCGTTGAATCGGGTCACAATCAGGTCGCGTTACCCGATCCCACGAACATACGACCTGCTGGACCAGCTTCGCGGGGCTCGTTTCTTCTCGAAAATCGATTTGCGAGGTGGCTACCACCAAATTCGTGTGTCCGCCGACGACTGCCCGAAGACTGCGTTCCGCACCCGCTACGGCAGCTATGAGTACACAGTGATGCCGTTCGGGTTAACGAACGCACCCTCAACTTTCCAGCTCACCATGAATGGGGTGTTCCGGGACATGCTGGATAAGAAGGTTATTGTTTACCTGGACGACATCCTGGTGTACAGCAAGACTCGGGAGCAGCATTTACAGGACTTAGACGAAGTGTTCCGACGCTTGCAGCAGAACCGGCTGATTACGAAGGGCTCTAAGTGCGAGTTCTTACGGTCGGAGCTGGAGTTTCTGGGGCACGTTGTCTCTGGGGAAGGCATTAAAATTGACCCTCGAAAAGTAAAAGCGATTTCGGAGTGGAAGCCGCCCACGAACATCACTGAGTTGCAGAGTTTCCTCGGCTTCGTTAACTACGTCCGCCGTTTTGTATCCAATATGGCGGGGGTAACCAGGCCGTTAACCGAGCTTCTGCATAAGGGCGTGCATTTTCGGTGGGGAGAGGGAGAACAGCTGGCTTTCGACGAGCTGAAGAAGATTTTGAGTTCACCCCCGGTACTTCGTTTGGCAGATCCATCGCGACCGTTCGAAGTCGTGACGGACGCCAGCGATTTCGCCGTCGGCGCTGTGCTACTACAGGACTTCGGCAACGGGCTGCAACCCATCGCGTACGAGTCAAGAAAAATGCAGCCGCCCGAGCGCAACTACCCGGTTCACGACAAAGAAATGCTCGCCATCGTGCATGCATTTCGTACCTGGCGCTGCTACCTCACGGGAGCTGATGTCACAATCCAAACTGACCACAAGTCACTACAGTACATGCGCAGCCAACCGCAGCTCAACCCACGACAAATCCGGTGGCTCGACTACCTCGAATCCAATTTCCGCTACACCATCACATATAAAAAGGGCGCCAACAACATCGCCGACGCCCTGACCCGCCCATCGATGCAGACCGCAGCTGTACTAATCGCCCATTCTAACCCTTTATTGGCAGGACTATTCAAGCACGGCTACAAGATCGACAGATATTTCAAGACCAACCAACACCACGGGGTCACTACATTGCATGGGAGTTACTACCAAAAAGTCGGTACTAACCGGGTTTGGGTACCTTCCTACCGACCCTTACGAGAGTTGCTGACGCAGGAAGTACACGACTCCAACCTCTCCGCGCACTTCGGCGTCGACAAAACGTTGAAACTGCTGCAGCGAAATTATTACTGGCCCGACATGGCGTCGGACGTGCAGCACTACGTGTCCGCCTGCCCGACCTGCCAGGCAATGAAGTCATCACGACAACGTCCAGCTGGATTACTGCAACCCCTCGCGCCACCCGAACGACCGTGGCAACAGGTGACAATGGATTTCGTTACGGGCCTCCCAGCTGGCGCAAGTGGCAACGACTCCGTGCTCGTCGTCGTTGATCGCTTAACGAAAATGGCGCATTTCGCGCCCTGCCGTACAACGATCACAGCCGAAGAAACGGCAAGACTCTTCATCTCGACCGTCGTGCGCCTACACGGGTTACCTTCGGCGATCATCAGCGATCGAGACCCGAAATTCACGTCGAAGTTCTGGCAGGAGACATGGGCACAGTACGGTACCCGCCTGCAGTTTTCGTCGACCTACCACCCGCAAACCGACGGACAGACAGAGAGGACCAACCAGACGATGGAGCAACTGATCCGCACGAACTGCCCGGACATCACCAAGTGGGAAGATTCCCTTCCCATGCTCGAGTTTGCGTACAATAACGCCCCATCCGCAACGACCAAGCAATCACCCTTCTACCTGAATTACGGGATAGACCCGGTGGTACCCTCATCAACAACTCCCGACAACCCGGTACCCAGGTCACAGCAGTTTATTTCGGAACTCCAGGCTGCGCGTGCCAAAGCCGCAGATTTTATCCGCAAAGCGAATTCGACCGCCAGCCGCTACGCTGACCAACATCGACGGAATTTACCCTTCCGCGAGGGGCAGATGGTTCTCCTGGACACCAAAAACCTCAGACTGCCCCAACCCGCAAAACTGCGTCCGCGATACGTGGGACCTTTCCGCATCATTCGGATGCTGACACCGGTCACTGCGAAACTTCTCCTCCCGGACGACTGGCATATTCACGACGCCTTCCACGTCAGTTTACTCCGCCACTACGTGGCACCCCAGTCCTCCGACGTCGCTCGACCCCACCAGGCGCCAAGTGTCCGACCGGTGGCAGATCCCACGCTCTAGCCTTGGAAGATATTGAATCATCGCATTCGTGCGACCCCCATTGGCCGCCACGTCGATTTACTACTCCGATGGGTGGATCGCACAAGTGACGACGACACGTGGGTCCCGGCTGACTCACTACAAGGGCACTCGGTACTCCGGCAGTATCTTTCTCGCCGACATGTGCCTGATATTGACCACCTTTCTTGAAGGGGGGGGTAGTGTAAGGAATTTTGCTAATTCCTTACTGAGGCACCGCTTGCGCGTACATTTCCAACTTTCGGAGTTCAGGCTCGGTCCGTCGACCTCGCCTCCCGAACGTCTCCCGCGTCGCCTTCGGGTTCTTCCAAACCCAAACCTACACCCAACCTTCGCACGACTCCGCGACCTCGGCTTAGCTAGCTTTGCTATATTATGCCTAGGCCCCGTTGTTTGCTCAGTAGTTGTAATCACTTCCGCGATATTGCATTCTGCGCACTCTTCTTTCATACAACTCATAACAGTAGTAGTCTTGTAAATATAAACACAATATACCGTACAAGGAAAAAGGCACTGAAAGATCACTCTTCGCTGAAAATCGGGACGTAAAATGCAGGAGGGATCTTAGAGGGAGATGGTAGCACAATGCAGTATCGACGCGGCAGAGATTCGAAGAGAGGTTCAAAGGGCAGCTCCAAAGTCAACAGACCACTGGTGCATGGCTTCCAGGCGGTCAGGTGAGCAGGTGGCACGGATGACAGACAGCGCTGCGTGCATGTCACTCGCCCGCACCGCCCGCACCTGGACAGTTGGGGGCAGGCCAGCCAAGGAAAGGCCCAACAGTGAGGCATGGAGCATGAAGCATGCAGCAAAAAAGACCAAGTAATTACCGGGAGCACCGCAGCACGAGTGCAGGAGACAAGGCAGCACAGCAGGCAAGGGAGGAGGGCGGTGAGAGGGTTACCTCATGAGCGCTGGCTGTGGCTATCCGGCCTCCCAGCTCTCTGATGGGCCCCATGGCCGCCTCCTGGCACAGCGCCTTCAGGTCACTCGCTGAGTACCCTGCACATGGCAGGGAGCGGGAGAGAGACAGTGAGGGATTCGGGATGGGTCAGTGGGTCTGAGGTGATGAGGCAGCAAGGGTATGTGTACGGAAAGGGATTGAGAGGTGGGATGGGTGAGAAGCGCGAATGCAGACAATGAGGGTGTGGCAGCCAGGGAGGGCGCACCTTGAGTGAGAGAGACGATGCGCTGCATGTCAGCATCTGCGGGTGGGAGAGAGTGAGGAGATCAGATCATGGCACTGTGTGCGAGAATGCGCACAAGATAAACAGGTGCCCGAGTGCTCTGGAGATCGAAGCCTTGTTTGAAAAAGCACAAGGTTGAGATGAAGCAAAGGCTTGTCAATAGCTATGTCACCACGCAAGGCAGCAGGCACGACAGCAGGCACGACAGCAGGCACGACAGCAGGCACGACAGCAGGCACGACAGCAGGCACGACAGCAGGCACGACAGCAGGCACGACAGCAGGCATGGCAGCAGGCAGGGCAGCAGGCAGGGCGGGGTGGCAGTGACCTGAGAGGGCGAAGTCACGGCCTCGTGTGAGGTGGCGCAAGAGTGCACTGCGCGCTGCTGCATCGGGCAGAGGAATGAAGATGCGCTTCACCTGGGGGATGGCAGGCGCGTGGATAGAGGGGCACACACAGGGAGAATGGTATGGCTCAGCAAAAGTTGAGTGGGGTGGATGGGTGCCGTGTGCACAGGGAAAGGGAAGGCGCAGCAGGGGCGGGAGTGGGTGCATGGGTGGTGTATGAGCTGGGACTTGGGTTGCGTGTGAATGGCAGCGTGCAGGGCAAGTGTATTGGAGCACAGCACAGAAGCAGAAGAAGTGGGGCGAGCAGGAGCAGTAGGAGAGGGCAGCAGGCACGCACCAGTCGGCGCAGCACGGCCTCATCCAGCTCCTGGGGGCGGTTGGTGGCTCCTGCTCATGGGCCGCAGGGGACAGTGGGGGGAAGAGAGAGGTGAGGGCAGCGGGAGAGAGGAGAGAAGAGCACAGATGAGACGGCAAAGAAGGACTGGAAAGGCATGAACAGCCCATGAGAGGACGTGAGAGCGGAGGCAGAAAGCACATTGTGTGCATTGCAGTTTGCCAAGCTTCTGATGGGCATGGCTTGGCAGCATGCTGTACAGGCGCGCATGAGTGCCGAGACCACAGCAACAGATGGCATGACAGGGCATGGAACGACAGGATATGGCATGGCAGGAGATGGAATGGCATGGCAGGGTACCGATGACAACGACATGGTCGGATTGGGCAGTGAGCACGCCATCGAACTGCAGCAGGAACTCCGTCTTGAGCCGCCGACTCGCCTCATGCTCGTTGGCCGCCCTCGCACTCAACACACTGTCAATCTGATGGCGCAGCGCAGCACACAGGGTACAGGGCACGTGGCACAGCGGTGCAAGGAAGTGGCGAAGTGGGGTGCGATGGCGTAAGGGCGTGAACCCATACGCCGCACACAGCTGCTGGGAGAACAGAGGCAGCTCGATAGTGGTGGCAAGCTGAGAAGACAATAGGCAGCACAACAACAAAGGCTCCCATGCTGCCCCATTTCACCCCTTGCTGCTCGATGTGATCCCATGCTGCCAATGCTTAAACCTTGTCCCAGCATGACGTTAGTATTAGGGTATGCATGCATCACAGCACCTGTGGCAGCTGCGTATGTGTGTGTGTGTGTGTGTGTGTGTGTGTGTGTGTGTGTGTGTGTGTGTGTGTGTGTGTGTGTGCGTGTGTGTGTGTGTGTGTGTGTGTGTGTGCACCTCGTCTATGAAGATGATGGACGGCTGGCGCTGGGCCGCCACCGCAAACAGTGCCCGCACTAGCTTCTCCGACTCGCCCATCTGTGCCGGCATGGGTGCACGGGTGGGTTAGTATATGGGTGTATTTTGATAAGAGGGAGGGGAGGGAGGGTAAGAGGGACTTCTAGATGCAGGAAAGATGAATAAATAGGGGGGCGAAGAGACATGGCTTGGGAGAAGATGTATACAAAGGCATGGGAGGTGAGACGGAAGGGGAGGCGGGGGATGGAGAAGCAGGTGGAATAAACGGCCAAAACAGCAGCGCACCCATTTGGAGGTGAGGGTGGCGGCGCTGATGTTGAAGAAGGTGGCTCGCGCCTCTGCCGCCACTGCCTTGGCCAGCATCGTCTTGCCGTTGCCCGGTGGCCCGTACAGCAGCAGCCCTGCAGGCACGCAGCACAGCAGGAGGGGCAGGAGCGGTGGAGAGGGCAAGGAAGCATGCTTAGAGGATGGAAGGGGAAAAGGGGGTTGGCTGCAGTGGCGAGAAGGATGGTGGCAGCAAGGTGCAAGCACAGAGAGAATTTAGGACAAGTGGAATGGTGCGAGGAAGCGGAGGAGCTGTGGTGAGCTGGGAAGAGGCAGCCCTCGGGCGCGGATGAAGAGCGGTCACCAACAGGAGGTGGCACAAGGGAGAGGTGGTCGGGCAGTGGTGGGAGGGTAAGTGCGCAGGTGGGCGGGTGGATACATGCGTGCGTGCGTGTGGTACCTCGGGGCGGGCGGCGGATGCCCTGGAAGAGGTCGGAGCGCAGTGCAGGCAGAATGACCATCTCCTGTAGCGCCTGCTTCGCGCCCTCAAGGCCCACTGCCATGCCATGGGGGGGAAATGGGGTGGGGTGACATTACAACGCTTGAGCCGCGTGCTTTGGGCAGAGTGGGTGGTGATGGCATGTGTGGGGCAGCGGTTGCACGGATGGCAGCAGAAGAGGATTGGGTTGGGCGAGGTGGGGCGGGTGATGGGGAAAGGAGGGGCGGGACGCAGAGGGAGTGCCGAGGCGGGTGGGAAAATCAGCATCTTGTGTTGTGTGAGAGAGAGAGTGAGAGGTGTGTACCTACCGATGTCATCCCAGCGCACACTGGGTCGTGCGTCCACGATCTCCCCCTCCACCACCGCCACCAGCTGCGCATCCACGCCCCCCACACTCGCCCCCTCCTTTCCCCCCCCACTCCGCCCGCCGTCCCTGCCCCCAGCTGCGCCGCCCAGCGCGGGCTTTCCCCCCCTGTGCTGCGCTGGTGGGGAGGCTGAATGAGAGTGCAGCAGCACGGACAGCCGCTGGGTGACGTCAGCGGACCACCGCGTGAGGTCAGCATGGCAGCGCCGCACTTCAGGTGATGTGCTGGCGCGGGGGGAAGGAAAGGGGGGTGGGGGGGATAGAAGGGGGGAAAATAAGAGAAGCGCATGGGAGGAAAGGGGAGCAGCACATGGGATGAGTGGCACGAGCTGGGCCGTGAGGCACAACCTAGGATGCAGGGAGCTGCCATACCGCATGCACCCCTCACCTGCTCCCCTGCCACCACGCTACCATGTGACCTGCGACCTGCCTCTAGCTGCGCTACCCATGCGCGCACGCACCTGCGCGCGCCTGCGCCGAGCCCCTCGTGGATGATCTCCAGCGCCTTGCGGTAGTACGCCACTGCCTTGCTGCCCTTCCCCCGCTCCTCCGCGCTAACCGCCCGCTCCACGCACTCCCGCGCCAGCGAGTGGAACCCCCTCACCTTCACTACCGCCACCTCTTCCGCCGTTACCCCCGCAGCGCCCATGCCGCCACCAGGCGAGAGCGCGGACGTCGTGTGGCTGCCTCCCCCCCTGCTGTGCGCACTGCCACTCGTTTCCCACCCGTCGCTCTGCGCCCACCCGCCGTCAGGTCCGCCGGGAAACAGCGCGCCGGTCCGCGGAGCAGGAGAGAGCTGCCCCGCCCCGCATGCGGGGGAAAGCGACAGCGGTTGAGTGTGCGGAGACAGCGCGGATACTGCCGCGGTCGAGAGCGAGGCAGCGGAGGGGGAAGCGGGGCTTGTGGCGGAAGAACGTGGAGAGGTGGGGGAGAAGACGAGTGCGCGGAGGCGGGACCACCATTCGGAAGGGGCGTTGGACATGGGCGGGCGAAGCATGAGGATGAGCGCGAGGAGGAGAGTCGAGAGGACGATGCACACGACGACGTCAGGGGGAACCACGGGGTCGTACAGTATCGAGAGCGACCGAATGGGCATCACGCTAAGCGAAGAAGACAATAACGGAGGTAATTGTCAAACATGGGTCCCCTAGCTGTCGCGGTTCGGCTGTGTGTGGAAAAAAGTGTGCCATCGAGGTCTGACCGTAAAAGGAGGCCGGGCGATGGACCATGCACAGAGTAGATTCGCTAAGATTCTGACGAGGGATAGAAGTGGGAGGCTGTTGCGGTGAGCTGTAGAGTCTTCAACGCCGCGATCCTCGGTAAGCTTGTGAGCGTGCGGAAGTGGTGAAACACGATGGTGCGGTGACGAGCGAGCTTGCTTGTGGCGAGGCGAATCCGGCTGACGAGTTGTTCTCGAATGTGGTTCTGCGGTCATCGCGTGTACACCTCACTGGAACCTTCCTTGCGGTTATTAGATGTGATGTAGGTGTTACGAGTGCAATTGAGTGAACGAACGAGAATTGCACTATCGAAGCAAGAGTACAATGAGCGAAGGTATGAGCGAAGAATATATAGCGAAACTACAGTGGTAACGGTAATGGTCTGTGGTAGTCGCGCGACGAGCCTGGGACTGAGGTTTGGGGAAGTGTCGAAGCGTAGGCCCGGAGCGCGGGTTACCAGCCGAGCCGTGAGGTCGGGATGCGATGTGCGAAAATGGCGGGATGAATATCGGTGCGATGATCGCGAGTGGTAACGGTGCTGACTGAGGTGCTAGAGTGATGTATGCGTTGAGCAGGGATGCGAAGTAAGGAAAAGGGAATTTCCTTACACTACGCCCCCCCCTCCTAAGGAGGTTCTCCTTACGAAAGCGCGAGGACGTCTTTGAAGTTTCGGCTGCGTAGGTAGTCGGTGACGACAGGGTGGTTTTCAACTTTGTCCAGGGGAACCCAGTTGTCCTCGGTGGGTGTACGATCTTTCCAGCGGATCAGAAACTCAACCTTTCGGGCTCCTCGAGGGTCGCGAACTCTGTGGCTCAAGATTTTTTCGGGGGTGATGATTGATTCGGTTGGTGGTCGTGTCATGCTGGATGGCCGATGTCGTGGGAGTTGGCTGGTGGATGGGACGTAAGGGCGAAGCAGACTGACGTGGAACGAGGGGCTGACGTACCAGTCAGCAGGGAGGAGGAGGTTCTCAGAATCAGAAACGAGAATGAATGACTAGAATGAGTGTTGGGTACAAATAGGTCAAACCTAACCCTAGAAATGTGTACCCACTATAGGCTAACCCACTGTAGCCTAAACAAGCATGTCATACAATGTTTGACACACCCCCATAGGCAAAGTGGGGGAGAACAAGGGGTCACAAGACCAGTCAAAGCAAAACAAAGCTCAGGGTGGATCTCAAGGATACCACACAAGTTCCGAGCACAAGCAAGCGGTCACAAGACCAGTTCACATGCAGATTTATAAAAGAACAAGAGATACAGTAATCACAACCTAGCAAGAGTAAGCATGCAGGTATATATATAGAGATCACTGTACAAGCAAAGTCAAGAAGTGAGCAAATGAGGGACAGTAGGCACGAGGCCTAGAACAGTACAGAAGCGCTGATGGTCACAAGGCTGAAGCGCCTTGGTGAACACGTCAGCAGTGTTGGCCCGAGTGGCCACGTAACGCAGACAAAGCTGACCTCGCTGCTGCAGCTCTCGAGCAAGAAAGTAGCGCAGAGCAATGTGCTTCGTCCTGTGCTCCAGTCTGTGCTCCCCACACAAGGCAATGGTGGCCTTGTTGTCGACGTACAGCACTGGAGGAGAACGAGGCTGCTCTCCAAGGTCAGTCAGCAGGTAGGTGAGCCAGCGAAGCTCCTGGGCAGCCATGGCCGTGGCGTAGATCTCAGCCTCACAGCTCGAGCTGAGAACAGAAGAAGAGCGAGTAGAACGCCAAGAGACAGAGCCAGAGCCAAGACTGAAGGTGTAACCCTGGGACGACCGCTGAGTAGCCTGGTCGTCTGCCCAGGAAGCGTCTGAGTGCCCAGTGAGAACAGGCCGGTCTCGCCCTCCAAGCACTAGCCCCATGCCCGACGTACTGCACAAGTAGCGCAACACCCTCTTAGCTGCATCCATGTGCTCCTTCCGGTGACGGCCGGGAGCGACATAGCGTGCTAAGATGCTGAGAGGGTATGCAAGGTCAGGTCGAGTGCAGGTCATTAGGTACATGAGGCAGCCCACAAGCTCTGGATACGGACCACTCGGCTCTACGGACTCATCCGAAGGCAGAGCTGAGAGCGAGTGTCCCGTAGGCAGAGGAGTGGACTGAGGCGAGGAGTACGTGAACCCGAAGCGCTGAAGGACCTGCTGCACCATGTGTGACTGAGTCAAGATGATGGTGCGCCGTGCTCTGTCCCGGGTGATCCGCAAGCCAAGATAGCTTGTCAGTTCACCCACGTCTGTGCACGTGTGTCTCTTCTGCAGCTCGGACTTCACGTGAGCGAGACCAACTGTGTCAGAAGTGGCAAAGACCAAGTCGTCGACGTACACAAGGATGTAGAACGGCGGCAGCGAGGGGTCGGTGCGTAGAAACAGCGACGGGTCAGCAGTAGAAGGAGCGAACCCAAGAGCCGCAAGTGTAGTCCTCAGTGTGTCGTGCCACTCACGTGGCGCCTGGCGGAGACCGTAGACTGGCCGCCGGAGGCTCCACTGGGTACCAGGAGGGAACGACCCAGTGAAGCCAGGTGGGCGGCGCAGCCAGATCTCCTCGTGCAGGCTGCCCTGCAAGAAAGCTGCGCTGAAGTCTAGAGAGTGGAGCTCGTAGTCACGCTGAGCGGCGACGTGTAGCAGAACCCGAAGAGTGGTCATCTTCGGGGTCGGGGAGAAGGTCTGGAAGAAGTCAACTCCCTCTTGCTGACTGAAGCCTCGTGCAACGTAACGCGCCTTGAAGACAGGCGGAGAGCCCGGCGGCCGCTTCACCCTGAAAATCCACATGCCACTGACGATGTTCGCCCCCGGTGGGGGAACCTCGTCGACGTAGGTGCCAGTGGACTTCCAGGAAGCCATCTCTGTGTCCATGGCTGACTGCCACTGAGAGGAGTAGGGACCGGCCATCGCCTCTGCGTAAGAGCGTGGGGTCGGGATGTCTGGTGCATCCGGGTCTCCCTCAAGGGCAACGAGCATGGACACGAGATGGGGCAAAGCAGCAGCAAGGCAACCAACCTCCTCCTGCCTGTCCTCAAGAACGTACGTGCCAAGAGCACACTCACCCCCGACGGACGGAGGACAGACAGACTCAGACTCAGCAACAAGACTCGCAGCGTAGTCTAGACGACACGCAGCTGCAAAGTCGACAAGCTCAGTGACTAAGGCAGACGCAGCAGTGGACTCAAAGGAAGGGTCAGTGACAACCGTAGCGAGGAGACGTGTGACAGTAGGACTGGCAGCGCGAAGGGTGTCTGACTCCGGGTCAGCAAGCGCAGGAAGAGAGGACGCAGGAGGCGACGGGAGAGCGACACGCTGCGGAGCAGTGGACTGACGAAGCGCCATCTGGTGAGTGCCTGGGACAGCAGGAGGACGCTGACGCTGGACACGACTAGCAGTGGTAGCAACACGAACAGGCGACGCTCGACGAGACGCAGGGGACACAGGACGTGAAGCAGGCTCACGTCTCTCAGCTAGACCTCCAGTCGGACCAGTGTACGGAGTAGGCATAGGGAGTGGGGAGGCAGTCGGTAACTGTGGCTGTGACTGGACAGACGGAGGACACTCTAAGGCGAGAGGAGGACACTGACTAAGAACTTGCTGAAGGAGCGGAACGAAGTACGGCCGTGGCCGTGCAGCAACTCTCGAACCAGTAGAAGCTCCAGCGGCAGGGTCCTCAGCACCAGCAGAAGCTCCACCCTCCGGGTCCTCTACTCCAGCAGCAGCAGCAGCACCTCCAGCAGCAGCACCACCAGCAGCAGCAGCACCTCCAGCACCAGGGTCCTCAGTACGAGCAGCACCTCCAGCAGCACCGCCAGCAGCAGTAACACCTCCAGCACCAGGGTCCGCAGCACCCGCAGCAGCGTCAACTCCGGGGACCCCAGCACCAGCAGCTCCACTCCGGAGACTGATGTGCCGAGCGTACCACTCTCGAAGCTGTGGGGAAGAGGGCGGCTCCCGCCGTGGTGGGGAAACACGAGTACCAACTCCAGTAGCACCACGAGCCCGAGACGCACCCCGCCGGAGGCTGCAGTACCGTGAGTACCACTCACGGAGCTGCTGCGAAGAGGGAGGTCCTCCAGGCGCCTCACAGTCAACTGCAACACAACCAGGCTCAGTACCCCCAGACTCAGCAACGCCAGGCTCAGTATCCTCAGACCCAGCACCCCCAGGCTCAGCACCCCCAGTCTCAGTACCTCCAGACTCAGCACCCCCAGGCTCAGCACCCCCAGTCTCAACACCCCCAGGCTCCGCCCGCTCAGGCTCCGCACGCTCAGGCTCCGCACGCTCAGGCTCAGCACCTCTAGCAGGACGCGAGTCGACAGCTACCTCGGCAGGCTCAACCGGGTCTACCTGAGAGACACCTGAGGGAGCGGCACCCTGAGGGGGGAGGGGGTCTACCATTGCAGCACCTGGCGCGAGGAAGAGAGGCGGGGGAGGGAGCGGGGCAGTGCGGTAGGGGAAGAGGCGGTAGAAGGGCACGGACTCGTCAAAAGTGATGTCCTGAGAGAGGAAGACACGGTGCGAGGCGGGGAGGTAAAACTGCCAGCCAGACGCATCCGGGGCAAAGCCAAGAAAGACACAGGGAGCAGTGCGGGAGGAGAGCTTGTCCGCAGACGTGTCGCGAACAAAAGCTCGGGATCCCCAGACACGGAAGCGTGACGCATCGCCAACCTCCCCCGTCCACAGCAGTGTGGGCGAGGTCTCTGGAGCGGAGACACGGGGCCAGAGGTTGAGCTGATGCGTAGCGTACCGGACCGCAAACGGCCACAGAAAGTGGGGGGCAGCCGTGTGGACTAAGGAGGTACGAGCGACCTCCATGACCAAGCCAATGCGGCGCTCAGCAACCCCATTCTGCTGTGGAGAGGCCGGAAGCGTGAACGACTGGCGAATGGCGTGCTCGGCAC